CTTCCGCTTTCGGCATCTCTGCCCACTTTTAACTCTTCCCAGGGCGGTGGCGCGGGGTGCCAAAGACATTCCCCCGCAACCAGCGTGAATGCGCGCGTGGGGAGGCGTGCTCCCCTGGCCAAGAGACCCTCCGAGCTGCCCTAGCCTGGCGTGTATTTGTGTGGCCTCCGGACTTCCAGGGAAGCCTGAATTGCTCCCACGACTTCCGGCTCACGCCTGGCTAGAACCACCCCCTCTCCCCCCCACTGCTAATTTTCTGGCCCTTGGCTCCCCGGCTTCAAACGGGAGACGGAAAAGCAGGAGGGGGTCCGGAGAGTCCGCGGCAGTTAGGGAGGCGAAGTCAGACAAAGGAACCCGCCGCCTTCTCCTGCCCGGCCGGAGCTGCCGGGGGGAGAGGCGGAATCGCGAGGGCAATTGAGACCCGCCTCGGTCGCTTTTCCCTCCGCCGCTTTGCTCATTTAAACGCTGCGTATCTGCGGTTCCCCAGCGCCGGGGAAGACGCGGCTCGTCTTTCCCCTCTCCGGCCAAAGAAACAAGGCGCCTGCGCCATTAGTCCGTCCTCCGCCCGGAATATACATGAACCGAGCAAACCGTCAGCTGCCCATCATATTATATATCTGTTCCCCCCCACCCCTCACTCCGCCACCCCCGCCGGCCCCTGATGCAAAAGCTCAAAGCTGCGCGGCCGATCGATTTCCACACAAAGCATTTTAAAGGAGGGGGCTTCGTACGGTTGGCACGAAAGCCAGAAAGGGGTAGGGGTGTCCCGGAGCGTGGATTCAATAATAATATTCCCCCTCTCCCTCCTCCCCTCCTCCTCAGCGTGCATACCCTCTACCCATCTCGCCAGCATCCTTCTCCTCCCGGGAAAGAGAAGGAGATCCATATATAATTGGACCAGCACTCACCTAAATCCAGCATGGAACATGTACATTCTTGGCACTCCTGTGTTGGCATATTTGGGAGTGGTGAAGATATTGTCTTTTTTCAGGGACACGTAGCTGATCAAGGACAAAATCAAGAGAGCAACGCTGACCATCACTAGCCCCAGAACACTCACCACTCGGACCATCTTGCAGCTTCTCATGCCTGGGGCGGGAGGGGGAGAGAGAGAGGGGGAAAAAAAAAAGATATACCCTGGGTTGTGAGCGCTACATTGGAGTTAACACACCCAGAAAGGAGGGATGGATGGAGCTGGTGCGTGTGTGCTTGAGTGTGTGTGTGTCGATATGGCGAAGAGCGAAGGAGGGGGAGGGAAAAACACATGCAACTAAAGGATTAACGCACAGCATACAGGCACACACATGAGCTCAGGCAGATGATGATGATGATGATGATGATGATGATGATGATGATGATGATGATGATAATGCACATGGAGCTGGTTAAGATCAGGAGTGTTAAAGAAAGAAACTGAAGGCTTTAGTTTAGCAGCTCAAGAACAAGCTTTGCCGACTAATTGCATGAAAGTGAAAATTCATCATGTAGCAAACAATATTAAATGTCGCCTTTGTAGTGAACAGGATGAAACAATTGACCATTTGATCAGTGGCTGCAGCAAAATTCCACAAACTGACTATAAACAGTCATGACTGAATTGCTTAAATTATTCATAGGAAACTTTGCTGGAGGTTTGGATTTGAATGTAGTAAGAACTACTGGGACCATCAAGTGGAGAAGTTTTTGGAAAATGAGGGGGTTAAGATCTTATAGGGCTTTAAAATCCAAACAGACAGGCACCTTGTTCATAATATGCCTGATATAACATTGAAAAGAAGAAAGTGTGGTTCATTGATGTTGCTATACCAGGTGATGCTAGGATAGAGGAAAAACAAGGGGGGGGGAAATAAATATTGGGACTTGCAGATCGAAGCTGAACGCTTATAGGAAAATAAATCCACTGTTGTACCAACAGTGATTGGAGCCCTTGGAGCAATACCTAAAGGATTCCCTTGATATTTGGAAATTTTGAATTTATCGGACCTGAACACCCTAATTTTACAAAAAAATACCTTGCTTGGAACTGCCTATATCTTCAGATGCTAGCTTAATATGTCTAGGTCCTTGGTTAGGACTTGAATTATTAAGTTTCCACCGATCTTTGATTGTGAATCTAATTGTAGATTACTATTACTACTACTACTACTACTGCTAATAATAATAATGCAGCATAGGAACTACAGCTTTGAAAGAGCAGTAGGTGGATTGGTTTAAAACAAAAATGTAGATTCTGAAAGGAAGAAGAAAAGGCTACTTTCTTGTGGAGGAAACTCCAGAATCTATTGCCTAAAGATGATGATGATGATGATGATGATGATGATGATGAT